CTACCTATGGTCTGTCCTGTCACTGGCCAAAGAAGCTTCTTTATTAACCAAAGGCAATAAAACATATTCACAGCATACAGAGGGGAATTAATATCACACTTTTTCCTCTAACAAAGGGGCATTTGGTTCCCAACATCCACACAGTAGTTCACAACATCTAGCTCACAACTTTTGAGTTCCAGGGGCTCTGACATGCTCTTTTCAATCCCTTGTGCGGCAGGCATAAGCGTGGTACATATGCACACATGCAATCAAAACTCATACAAAATAAGATCTTTTAAAATGACATGTCATCTGCAGAGAAAAGGACAGAAATAAAGAGTATTGTAAAGTGAAATAGGACAGACTCAAACATAAAAACTTCATGTCTTTGAGATCTAGGTTTAAAAAGAGAAGGGCACTAAGGGGAACTATCTGGGAAGAGGAAGGAGATGGAAAAAAGAGGCTAAGGGGAAGTGAGTGCAACCCTAGAACACGATATCAATGATAAAAATGTCACAAGCTGGGCAGTAGAGATGTACACCATTAATCCCAGCACCGGAAAGGCAAAGGAAGGCGGATCTCTGTGAGTTTGAGGTCAGCCTGGTCCACAGAGTGAGTTCCAGAACAGTCAAGGCTATGCAGAGAAACCCTGGCACAAACAAACAAACAAACAAATAAAAAAACAGAAAAAAAAAGTCACAACCAAACCCATATATTCCATACAATGACTCCACACTAAGAATTAGGAGGGGGAGGGGAATAAAGTTCTGTAAGCCTAACAACCACAAGGAAATGAATTATGCCAATCCACCTGAGGGAATTTGGGTGTAGATCCTCTTCAGGTGAGATCAAACATCAGTCACAGTGCCCCCACTAACACGCTGATCTGCTAAGCTGTGCTGACTCTTAAACCACAGACCAATGTGTACTGCATCAGCTATATGTGTGATGTGCTGCTAGCACGTAGCACAGGAAACAAATACTCATACAACACAAAAGTTTTTTCTGAACCTTTTGTTCACACGAAGTACCATGGTTTCTCCAATTTCTAAAGACATTAATGTCAAACAGTTCAGAACTTACAAAAATTTAAATAAACTGGCATTTAAAAATGCTTAGGAGTATTACCTAAGAAAACAAACCTTACAAAGTATTTTGTATATATAAGTTTTTGCACTTTTCTCAGTCCATTTGCCAATATCCTAGATTAGATGTATAGACAGTGAATCTGATATGTAGAACATTAAGGCAATTCTCCATATAATTATGCACAAGATGAGTATGAGACAGGTGGACAGCCAGCAATAAGAACCTACTTACTGGTCAATAGGCAAAGCAACCAAGCAGAAAGGAGTTGGACAGGCTTGCTGGTACGAGCACACAACAGACCGAGAGCTCTTCCCCCAGACAGTCCCGCAGCTCTCAAAGGGCCGGCCTGTGAACTCATCCCACTCCGCCTCCAACCTCAAGGTTACTTCCAAACAGTTCCCAAAGCAGGACCATCCAGGACAGAGGCCACACTTCAGCAAGCAACATAAGGCATCGCCTGTGGTCTTTAAAGATAGATGAAGTTACAGGTGAGAAGCACTAACCATCCAAGTCCCTTGGCAGAGATGGCAGGAGTGGTCATTAGGAGTCTGTCTTCCCTATACAGTGCAATCATCTCTTCTGCCCCTCCCCCCAAAAAACATCAACTGTGTTAAGAGAAAAATCCAAGAATGAAGAGCAGATTAACCACAATTTCCCAAATTCAAATATTTTGGCATCTATGGTAAGTAATAACTGAGAACTCCATAAAACCTCACATCTGTGCTGAAAATTCATTTAAATAAATCTTCCTAGGAATACAAATCTTACTTAACACACTCAATTTTAAATGACGGCCCAGGTTTTTTCAACGTAAGTAACAGGAGACACCTGAATTACAGGCTGCTGAAATACTCATAGGCAAGCCACACCCAAACATGCTAAGACAATTAAGCAGCCGAAAGCAGCAAAGAACTGTTGGTTCACTGCCTTAAATTAATTCACTTTACAATCTCTCCACCAGACACACATACACATGCATTACTGAAGTCACAGGATTTCTCCGGAAATAATCTTTACTCAGTAGGGTATTTTAAGAGCTAACTCACCTCCTTTGACAGCTGCATCAAGGAAGGCTGTTTTAACTCCTATTGACAGCTTTTATGAACATCAGTGGCTTAGTGGGAAAATGCAGGCATAAAATAAAGTCAAACAATTCCTCCTTAAGATACCAAGGTTTTCAAATGTTAGATGATGCCCTTAGAGACCAGTTTTAAAACAAATGGCACCAGACTATTACCAGTAATTAAGAGAGAACTTCTGTTCACTATATACAACACAGTAGTCAATTCACTAATCGACAAAGAGTAAAGAGAAACAAGCCCTACTTCTTCTAAAAACTCCACAGAGATTCTAACCATACTCTGATCTCCACGAGAACTCAATGCCTACCAGCTGAAATATCTGAGTTACTCATCTTCCTTCTAGTTACTTAATTCTCTAGAGAGAAGAATGTATGCAGCCTCGCCTGGTCTACACATTAAGTTCCATGACAGCGAGAACCGCACAGAGAAATACTATCGTGAAAAGCTAAAAAGGTGCAGCCAAAATATACATACCAAAGAAAGCAAAACTCAAAGGTCACCACAGAAAACTTCATTCAATTTGGCAACTCACTGTGATAGAGCAATAGAACAGCTTACATATCTACTTGCCACTCTCCTAAGCGGAAAGCAATTTAAAGAGCAATAGTTTAGGTTTCCTCTTTCAATACATATCATTGGGAGTCTACAAAGGAACTTTATCTGAGTGTTTTTAGGACTACCTTTTCTGGTTAAAAAACAATACAAACATCAATGCTTTATATAGTTACGGTAAGTACTTTCCATTAATTTTGAAATGTTCTTTTTCTCAATTTTTAGTTGGAGTCCACAAAATTCAGTAAACACTGCACATGCCCAACCTTTAACAACTCTGACACATTGGTATAAAACATAATAAAAATGGTGTCAATATAAAGAATCTAAGACTCCACATCTAGCCCCGTCCATCTCAGAATGACTAGAAATGTGCTCCCACTAGGTGTTCTCATACCCACTCACTGACAAACTGGTACAAGTTTCACTAGGCAAAGCCTTTACTAAGGACCAACTTTACTGTTTTTCCCAACAAGGATTTTAAAGTCGCTGCCCTTTTCATTCCTTTCACATGAGAACAGGTCATTTCTGACCCCTTTTAGGCCTTGTCAACTAAAGTTTCTTACATGAATCAGGAAGCACAGAAAAATGAGTGACTATTTTTCTCCAATGACCCAAGAACGAAACATATCTCTAACAGTTCATAATGAACTGGAGAAAAAGTTAAGATCCTCCACACAATTGATGACTTAGGACTGTCTAGCAATCAACCTTACCAGAGACCTGGATGAGAAAAGCTGCCCCAGCACTGTCTTGCTACCCAGTCTTCCAGATCAGGAGGACTACTAAAGAACTACATACTACGTCTGCAAATCTAAGAATTATGTTTTAAAAAAAAGCAAACAAATAAAAAGCTTGCATTCCAACTCTAGGCAAACAGGTCTTGCCAATTTATTAAGAACTAACAGCAGGAAGGCCAGCGATCTCCCCTGCTCTGAATACTTACTTTAATAAAGCAAATACATACTGAGTCTAGTCAAAGAGAAATCAGCCCGGAGAAAAACTGAATCAAAAGTGGTAATCAGGATATTAAATATTAACTGAAAGAGACTGTTCCTATTCCCTTTTCTTGTTCCTACTTTTGATGATCATAACTGCTTAGTGAAAACTTCATTTTAAAAAGGTAGTTATTTCTAAAACATGGCACCACTCTCAGGAAACTACAGTGTCTCAGACCACAGGGCATGATTACTTCTTTTTTCCAAAAACAAGATTTTTTTTAAAGATGCCTCAATTCTAGAAAACATTAATATAATTATTGGCACTGCAAAACTTACCATAAAGCAAGTTATTTAAGTGGCAGGCTAAGTGTTTAGCTCAGTGATAAAGAGCTTGCCTAACAAGCTCAGCAACTTAGGTCAGAGTCTCAGAACCTCACAAACAAACAAAAAAAGGTAGCTAAAAGCTAAGTGCTTTCATATCAAACATGCAAAATATCATTAAGATGGTGGAAACTAAACATGACATTTTTTACGAATTAACGCTAGAGTCTGATAGCTTTAGCACACAGATCAGTAAACAAGCCACTTAATTTCTTACAACTATAAACACATGAATAAGAAGGTCTTTAAAACAGAAGGTGGGGTTCACACCATTCCGCGCTCAAATATGAATATATAATGCCGGACATATAACGCAATGAAGTGGGAATGTGAGGTCTGAATTCACACTTTCACAATCAAGTGCACCCTTTCTCCTGTTTCAAACAGCATAAAAGCACATCACTGACCTCTAACGCTAGTCAACACGGCTCTTCGAAAGACTCTGACCAACTACTGCCTCTGTAGGCAGAGTTGTGATAACTGTAAAGATTATCTCCTTAAATAACTGTTTTTGAACAGTTCCACAATCAGCTTCAAACTAAGCAGTACTAACATTAGCCACATGTAAAGTAGCAGTTTCCTGCGGCTAAAGCAACACTTTGTGTTAACACCTACACCCAAATAACACGTACCCACCCAGTAAGAATACAGAACTATGTACAGACGCTCGAGGATTACAGCTTTGTTAGGAGTCGATCCAGGGAAATAACTTCCTTTTTGTTCAAGCACTCAAACATCCACGTGAGTCCCTTCTGGCTTTGGGCTTTTAAAACTGCTTGCTCTCCAGCTCCCGAGCAGAACTACACTCGTCCACCGATCACCCCTAACTTCCTGGTACTAAAAATTACAACCACGAGGCTGTTTCGTCAGTTTGTTGTAAAACAATTCTAGTTCCATTCACCTCGTGGCAGGGGGGGTGAGGAGGGGACGCTCCCCCAAGTTGGGGAGCTGCTTCGGGGGCAAGGGACCGTACCTCCAAACAAGTGCGGAGAAAGGTGGGCCGGGAGCGAGCCGATCACCAGGCGCGGCCCGCCAGGGCCCCCGCCCGCTGGCCGGTCCCGTTCCCTAGCGCCGCCGCCGTCCTCCGGGCTGCTGTGCACCGAGTCCTGAGAGCCGTACGGGCCGCTGCCACTGCCGCCGCCAGGGATGCTGAAGGCCGACTGCGCCGCGCGTCCGCCCACAGCGCTGCCCACCGCCCCTCCGAGCGAGCGGCTGCGGGGCGCTGTCGGGGCCGAGGCGGCTGCCGCTGTCGCCGCCGCCGCGCCGGCCGAGGCGCTGGGCTGCTGCGCGCCGGGCACCGGGGCCACGAACCGGGCCGCCCGAGCGCCGTCCGCCCCGCCGCCGCTGCCGGAGGGCAGGTCCGAGCCCGAGTAGGCGCGGGTGCGGCCGTTGGCGGCGGGGCCGCTCTGCTTGGCGCCCATGGCCGCGCCGCCCCGGGCCGCGAGCGAGCGAGCGAGCTAGCGAGGCCGGCCGGACGCAGCTCGCGGCGGGTGCTCAGGTGGCCGTGCGGACGCGGTCGCTGCCGGGCCGCCGCGACGGGCCGCTACCGCTCGCTGCCGCGCTCCGCGGCCTCCGCACCGCCTCCTCCCGGGCGGCCGCCGCCACCGCCGCCATCCTCCGGCTCCCCGGCGGCTCGGAGAGTGGGAGGCGCCCGGCAGGACTGGGGGCCGCCTCCCTGCGCGCCAGCCGCTCGCAACGGGAAAGAGGAACGGGCGGCGCGCGCCCCAGCAACCGTCGCCGAGCGGCCCGCACTGGAGGAGCCGCGGCCCGGCTAAGGCGCAGCGCAGAGATTGGGTCCCGCTGGCCTGACTCTGCCCCCACAGCCAGGCTCGCCCGCCCCGGCCCCGCCCAGAATGCGGTGATGGACAGACGGGTGGCCCCGCCCTCCATGCAAAGCTTCTGGCACCAATCAGAAGACGGCTCCTCCTCCCGCACGTGGCCTGTGAACGCCCGAGAAGAGCAAGTGCACCTTTTCCTGGCTGGGGCGGGTGCCCTTTGAATGAGTGGACGTGACCTTCGTTGGTGTTGACAGACAGAGTAAACAAACAAACAAACAAATCGATCTCAGCTTTGTGGACGTTTTCAAACAAACAAAACAGCGTTAGGGGCTTTGGACGGAACAAAACACCTTGAAGACTAAAGCCAACTTGGTCTGAATTATCCTGGGGTGGGAAGCACAAAATTGGAAAAACGAAGGAAAATCCAGTCTGACCTTCACGGGTAGAGCCGAAGCTGAGGGGCAGAGACTATGTTCTCCCTGAAACACTGCCTTCAGACCCAACGTCTAGCCAGATTATGCAGACTGCCAATTTCTTTACCTTTTTGGATTTTTAGTTTCCTTGCCCATAATGTTGAAACTAAGTCTCCAGGGCAATAGCTGCTTTAAAATCTTATGGTTTCTCTAAATGGAATTGACAGAATCCTCAGTACCTTCCTGTGTGTGGTGCTTGGGCCAGTCGGTTCTCACCTTCCCATTTGGAGGATTCCCGAAGCCTTGTCTGCATGGAAAAACAGCAGTGAGTCTGTATAAACTGCAGAAATGAATACCTTGTTGCTGTTTTTTTCCCTTTTGTATTTGCACTGAGTCATTTATGTAGTGATTTTAGTCATTGTTTCAAAAGATGTGGGAAGAAAGAGAGATAAATGCTTTGCCTGAATGTTTGTTTGCCACATAGGTGCTTGGTTCCCATCGTTGAGGTCAGAAGGGGGCATCAAATCCCTTAGAACTGGAATTATGGGGCTAGCTGCCACATGGGGTGCTGGGAATCAAGTCTAGTTTTTCAGCAAGAGCAGAGTGGTTCTTAACCACTAAGCCTCAAATTGGGTTTGTTTTTCTTTGGGGGGGGGATGTTTTGTTTTGTTTTGTTTTATTGGCTTTTGGTTTTTCCATAAAGGGTTTCTCTGTAGGTTTGAAGCCTGTCCTGGAACTCTGTAGACCAGGCTGGCCTTAAACTCACAGAGATTTGCCTGCCTCTACCTCCTGGGATTAAAGGTGTCTGCCACCACCACAGGGCTCAAATTGGGGTGTATTATTATTATTATTTATTAAAAATTTCCACCTCCTCCCATTTCAAATTGGGTTTTTAAGAAAGGGAACTGAGGCCCTCTGAGCCGGTTGCCTGTAGTTCCCAGCTTCTGGAGAGACTGCATCAGGAGGAGCCTTTAGAATTCAAGGTCATCCTGAGATGTAGCAAAAACCTATCTCAATAATAAGAAGGAGAAGACGAAAGAGGGAAGGAGGAGGAGGAAGAAATGTATACACATAATATACGTATATAGCTTTTATATAAAATATCCTGTGTGACATCATTCGATTAAAAGTCTTTTCCCTGCACATGTTAGCAGCCACCCCAGACTGAAGACGACGCTGTGTAATAATCCCTTTATACTCTGATCATGGTATTAAACTTCTCATTAGACACTCAACAGTCAATGTCAGTACAGTAGCTTTTCAGTGAATAAGCATATTTATATTTTCTAATCTTGCTAAAATGAGTTTTTAAATGTTTGTACAGTTATTTATTTATTTGTGTATACCAATGTATGTGAGTGCACTCATGCTATGAATTTGTGTGACATATTTGTGTGACAGAGGACCACTTGCAGGAGTTGGTTCTTTCCTCCTACAATGTAGGTTCGGGGGTGGGGGGGTGTTAGAGCCTTTGCTTGCTTACGCCACCTCGCTGGCCCTAAAATGATTCTTTTTTTTAAAATATTTATTTATTTATTATGTATACAATATTCTGTCTGTGTGTGTGCCTGAAGGCCAGAAGGGCGCCAGACCTCTTTACAGATGGTTGTGAGCCACCATGTGGTTGCTGGGAATTGAACTCAGGACCTTTGGAAGAGCAGGCAATGCTCTTAACCACTGAGCCATCTCTCCAGCCCCCTAAAATGATTCTTGAAAGTCAACTTTTAAACTTACACATTGCTCTTCGATGGCACCTGTGTGGAGCGGCTTTTTTTTTTCCCCCCTCGGTCCTCTTTGCTCTCTCTCCGGCCTTCTTGTCTCTCTCCAAATGGGAATCCTCATGAAGACTGTGTTTTATTGCCAGGCAGCTGTAACTTCACTTAATACCTGTAGCTGTGTTACACCCTACCGGTTCTTCACATTTCTTTAGTAAACTTGTTCTTCCTTCTCTGTGCCTCCGTTGGTCCTTTAATGAGAAGCCAATGTACAGGAGCCAATCAGGACAGGATTATAAACTCATGCCACAGAGTAGGTAGATTCAAGCTAGGGTTAGGCCTTGCTTCTAGTTAATGCTAGCTTTGGGACTGGGGTCAAGCCACTCAGTTTAATTACACCTGTTTCCTGTAAAATATGTAAGTGCACATGAGCGTAGTACCAGTCTTCAGAGTGGCTGAGAGTCTCAAAAGAGCTGATATGTGTTTGAAAGTACTTTGAAATCACTGTCCTGCCTATCACAAAATAATATTATGCATATTGTCTGTAGCAGAGTGCGATACTGTGCACAATAGAATATGCAAAAATTGGTGGACTTGATTTCACTATTTTGTACAATTAAATTGCATCGCTAACACTTAAAGTATCATTAAGAATTGATAGAGTCATCACTATATGTACATCACCATAATGGCTTGACTGGATAAGCATATATAGAAAGACCAGAGGTTATTTGAAATCTTTGATATGTAAAAGTTTTTTTTAAATGAACTTTTCTTTAACACTTTGAACAGTCTTTGGTGTCCTAAACAGGCTTCAGTGTGTCACAGAAATGCTTCATGCTAGTCAGCTGATGAGCAAAGCCCTGTGTTATAGTTAACATAGATTTTTAGAATCATTTTCTTTTTAAAAAACAGCTGAGACAGAATGTCAGCACCTGATAATAAAAATAACTCGATTCTTGTTTAACAAATTAGTATAAAGTTATTAATAAGAGATTAAATATGTGTATTATATTCTACTCTCAATTAACTTTGGCTTGCAAACAATCTTTTAATTAAAAAAAAAAGAAAACTGGGGGCTGGAGAGATGGCTCAGAGGTTAAGAGCACTGGCAGCTCTTCCAGAGGTCCTGAGTTCAATTCCCAGCAACCAGATGGTGGCTCACAACCATCTGTACTGAGATCTGGTACCTTCTTCTGGACTGCAGGAATACATGCAGGTAGTACTTTGTATACATAATAAATAATTTAAAAAAAGAAAGAAAACCAACATCTTGGTACTGAGGATCTAGATTAGTCTATAAACTATTTGCCACACAAACATGCAGACCAGAGTTCAATTTCCACAGTCTCCAGCACATGTAAAAATACAGGCATGGTAATATGGCTTGTAATCCTAGCTCCAAGGAGATGGGCATAGGAGGATTCCTGAGGCTCACTGAGCCATCCTATCCTAATCAGGGAGCTCGAGGACTCAAAGAAGAGACCTCTGACCCAAAATAAATAAATAAATAATCTGGCGGGCTCCTAAGGAATGACAGCCAATATTGGTCTCTGGTTTCCACATGTATGTACAGATATGTGCACACATAAATGAGCAAACATACTTACACACACACACACACACACCTTTCTTTCAAAATGCTTAGCATGAAACAAGCATAACTTATGTTTTTCCTCCATTCTAAAGAAACTTCTTAGATTCCAAAGTATTATGAAAGGCTTTACCGGGGCCATACTGTTGCAAAGATTTAAAAGTTGTGGAGATAGTGCCATGGGCCCAGTACCAAGAAGATGTCCCAGCCTATAGCCGTGAAAAGGAGCTTGGGAAAAAAATAGCTCTCTGCTCCATAATGCATGGGTTCTCTCCTCCACTGACTGTGCACCGTCCTGCAGTCTCCCGCCACTTTCACAACTCCCTGCAGTAGAGCGTGAATGATTAAACAGCAGCAGGAGACGTTTCCCTGCACCACCTCCTCCCTCAAGGGCAGCCAAAAGCCCCAGTAGAGGCAAACCCTGTATTTTAGGCCCGGATTGTATAAATCCCCCAAGTACAGAGGCTCTAGCCTACTCCATCTTTAACTCCCCAGGGTGACTGCATCACCAGAGCTGAGACGGTCCGTAGGCAGGCGGTTACAGGCTGGTGTGGATCAGAAGGGCAGGTAGCAGCCAGTGGTGCATGCTCTACATCACCACTGACTTAGCTAACTACTATCACCGTGCCAAGCTTGTTGCTCTCTCTATTGTACTGCCAAAGCAGTCTAGAAGTGGCCAGTTCCCTTTGGGTGACATCTGAATGACCCTGGCCCCCAGTTAGGGCAGGTGGGAAAGAGGTCAGAAACGCACGATTACCTCTAGCTGGGAATGAGAAAGCAAACTGGGTGGTGAGAGCTACTGGTCAACCTACCACACCCTCTGTTTCCCAGAAGCCAGATGCTCTTTGGCTGAACTCTCTAGAGCTCCAAGTCTGAACAGATAGGTTTTTGGAACATAGCCCTGAGCAGGGTCATCCCTGGTACACAGAAACATTAGGATACATCCGGACCCCCATGGAAGATTGGTTCCACACTAATGTAATGTCTTAACTACACACTAGTGTAATGTCTTAACCATAGAGACACAAAGTTAACCCACGGACCCTGCCCTCCAAACCGTATGTCCTG